TATATATATATATATATATATATATATATATATATATATATATATATATATATATATATATATATATATATATATATATATATATATATATATATATATATATATATATATATATATATAGACACACACACACATACATACATACATACATATATATACATATATATATGTGTATGTGTGTGTGTGTGTGTGTATAGGCTGGTTCCCGTGAGAATGCACCTTGTGGAGAGAAATGAGAATAAAATCTAGCCATTGGATCTGATGCATCGTGCGGCTCAGATTGCATCCTGCACTTAGATTTTGAGATAGTGTATTTTCAAAGGATTTTGGTGCATTTTAACATGATACATTATCAAACCATTTTGGTGCACCTAATTTTGATGCAATCCCGACCCTTATATCTCACAATCTAAAACACCAGATTCATTCTCATTTCTCTCCTAAGATCACATTCTTACTAGAACCAATATATATATATATATATATATATATATATATATATATATATATATACATACATACACATATATATATAATGTCAAAGACTATCTTGTTATACAAAAAAAATGTATAACATTTTGACACTTAAAGATTCATAGTAAATTACCTAACTTTGATATATAAAAAATAGAGTAGTAAGTTAATTCTTTGGATAAGAGGTGTAATGATTAAATTTCAAAACATATGAAACAGAAACGTACATTTACCCATAATAAAAATGATCTCTTACAAAAAACATTTTGAAAATTAAAAATAATAATTTGAATGAATTTGATTAATTATTTTACTTTCTATACCAAGAATTTCGGGGACGAAATTCATTTTAAGGGGGAAAGAAATGTAACGTCCTGAAATATACCGTAGAATTTTATAACAAATTCTGAATAAATAGTCATTCTAATTTTCATTCAAATTAAATGAACATCGAAACAAAAATATAAAAATAAGATATTTTACAGTAATCTTCGTACCGTCAAGTTTATACTGGAATAGTAAGTCTCGATGAAACGAGTTCAACGGTATTTTGCGTGCGAATCCAAGATACGAAAGTTAGGAGTTCGATCGTCCAAAAACTAAAAAGATTATAAAGAAAATCCCCTAAATAGGAGTGAAACATGTATCAGATCCTCAAAATAGGAGTTCAAACTTAAACTCCTCTAAATAGGAGTAATTAATTAATTTTTTTTTGATTTTTTTCTTCTGAACAAACCACACCACATCTCAGCCCTTTGCATTCGAAAAAGTCACCCGGCCCATTCCCAATCCCATCCTTCTACAATCTCCTTCTTCGTTCTAATATCAGTTGCCGACGCTGTCAACTTAATCTCAATCCCTCTCCGCCGCTACCATCTCCTCTATGCGGCAATGATTCCATCGCACTCTCCATCATCTCCCTTTCTCTCATCATACACACAATCTCCTTCCACCCCTCTCCACCATTTCTATTTTTCATCGCTCGGATGCCTCTCCCTTTGGGTAAGTTTGAATTCAATTTGATATTAAATTTGACATAAGTAGTTAAATTCCATTTTAAATCTAAAAATTTACTTTTTCGGGAATTATTTTGTAAAATTGGTACTAATTCTTTTAGCCTTGCGTGACTTTGAAAATTTAGATCAATTTTATATTCAATTTCACATAGGTTGTGATATTTGATTTTAAATCTGAATTTACTTCTTAGAAAAATATTTTGTAAAACATATATTGACACTAAATGATTATTGTGTTGACAAATAGAGTTTCTTGATGTTTAACTTTTTTGAGATTATGCATAACATATGTGTTATATGTAAAATTATACATTGGCATATTTGTCATTATACATTGCCAAGTGTGGCACTATATATTGTCATATTTGACATTATTTCTTGGTTTAGAATTATGCATTTGCATGTATGACTTTATACAATGACATTATTGTCATTATGCGGTTACATGTGGCGTTAAATATGATCTTGTTTGACACTGTATAGACACTGTACTATAGCAATTTACTGAGTTTCTATTTATTGCTTAAGAATTTTGACATATATCTACAAGGTATTAATAAGGTCTCATAGATTTATTGATTAAGAATTTTGGCATTTAGTGTGGTCTCGTTTGACAATCTATGGGCCTGAGGCAACACTTAAAGGTGATGTTTATCAACTTTTTTTTCTCTTCCTAAGAATGTCAAATCAGAATATTTGAATTTTGAATTAGGATACGCATATAAATATTCAAGAGCAAGGTAGAAATAGCCGTATTTGTCTGTGGTATTGAGCTTTGGGTGTAATTTTATTGTCGTCCCTTGACGATAGAGTTAAAAGAATCGTTTATTTTACAATATTTTAATTTTGGGTAAAAAAAATTAGCCAGCTTAGTAGTAAGCCGTTATTTTGATAAAAAATAAATATAATGTCCTATTTTATTTTCTGAATCGAAAATATAAACTATTTGTAAAGTCAACCTTTTAATTTAAAAAATAGGTAATTGGGTTGATCTCGTAAAAAGATGACTAACAACATATAGTTTGTTAAGTTTAGACTTTGGTGTAAAAAATTACGAGAAAAATAAATGTTACAGTTTAATAAATAAATATAAAGATTTTATAATATAATAATAATAATAAATAATAAATTTCCTAATCTATTGTAATTCCTACCCATAACTTAATGTCAAGGCCCAGCCCCCTAAGTGTATAAATACACACGCATGCAATATAAGAAAATAAACAAAAGAAGGGAGAAGAGAGTGAGAAGAGACATACTACTAATTGAGGACAAAGATTAATTAATTACTCCTATTTAGAGGAGTTTAAGTTTGAGCTCCTATTTTGAGAATATGACATGACTTTTACTCCTAGTTTGATCCTTCTCCCAAGTTTATAGAGTAAATTAATAAAATACTCTCTCCGTCCCTAAATGAACTTCCCTTTTCGTTTTTTCTTTGTCCTCAAATAAATTTCTCTTTTCCATTAAAAAACCCCTTTTACCTCTTACTTTTTCATACCATACCTATCACATCATACCTTTTTACTAATAATCTACATATTACATCTTACTTTTACACATCACATCAAGGGTATTTTTGGAAAGTCAACATAAAAATATCCCTCCCTTAAATTCTCAAAAAGTCAAAAAGGAAAGTTTTTTTAGGGACGGAAGAAGTATAAATATGACCTAGAGAAAATATTACTCTGTATCTAATGAAATTTGAGGTTTTGGATAAGTCTCGAGAAAAGGTGAGCAACATCATATTATTTGCCAAGTTTGAAATTTTGTATAAGACATTATGAGTAAAATAAATGTTACAGTTCAATAAATATAAGGAATTTTATAATATACTCCCTAATATTAATATAATACTGATATACGGAGTATGTTAACTTCTAAATGGAGTTGAAAAGCCCAAAACCTGCCAAACCTGTATATAATACGGATATATACACAGCTTATCAGAGAGCCGCATCACACTTCTTCTTCTTAGATTAGTTCGCCGACTGGAACAGAGGGGGGATCGCCAGCTTGTTCTCCGGAATTCGTGAATTCAATTTGTGATTTCTTCATCAAATCCTTCTAGGTGAGTGATTTATCTCTCGTTAGAATTGATTCGTAGATTAGGGTTCGTTAATATATCTCCGTCTTGAATTTGTAAATATGATTGTTGAATTGTGTGAATAAATAGGTTGAATTGAATTTCGGTTTGGAATTGGGGATATTCTGTTATGATCTTTTCTCTGTTCTTCTCTGCTCCCTTGCTCTCTGTTTCTGGTTTTGCTGTGTTTGCCTGGCCGTCTTCACGCTGCTGTTTCCAGGCGAGGGTGCTACGGCCGCTGTGTGTCCGCTGAAATCGCCGAGCCGCCCTACTGTCCATAGTTTGTTCTGTCTGCTGTTTGCTGGATCTTGATGATGAGGACTGCTGCTGAAAACTAGTCCTCAATTAAGTATTTCAACTAAGTATGAAATTTAAGAATTTAGTTTCTAAAATCATGATTTAGCCCATTATTCTCAATTGATTACAAATTTAGTCCTTCTTTATACTTGACCCCAAATTAATCCAAATTGATTAAACTTTTAAATTGATGATAATTATGTGTCAAATTGAAATTATGAAAATAGGCCACCTGGTATGTCTAGGATGTTCTGACAGAAATCAAATTGATAAGGTTATTGGGATCACCAACCAGTCAGGATTTAGAATTTAGGCCTGGTGGGGCGAGCTTCGCATAACTCACGGGTCTTGGGTTAAAAACGTACGTACGGGAGTCGTTAGCCTACATAGGGCTTCCTTTCTAGGGCCTCCAACCCGACCATTCAGGATTCTCTGTGGTATTAAGCGTGGCCTCGGGAGATCCGTCTTAGTGTCCATGACTCAGTTAGTCAAAAGGAAACCTTAGCCTATAGGTTAAGTGTAGATGAACAACAAGAACTGAATATACATAAATAGTTGATCATGATATTCGATAATGATATTTGCTGATTCTTCTGATATTGTTTGATTATATATTAATGGGTACTAGTATATGAGTTAGTTTTAGCGTTAGATACTTCCACTCTCCTGTTTTTATAGGTAGGGATCAAGGATTAGATGATGAGCAGTCTGGAGGATAGTTATGAAGCGTGAAGTTGGTGGATGGCCTAAAACTATTTGTCTTAAATTAAATATATTTTGTTGGATTTGTTTCTTTAAATTACAAGGATGTTGGATGTTGTTTTGAAAGGCTTCCGCAACGTTTGAATTATTTACTCTGATTAAACTATGATTTGTTCTTAAGTAAATATGATTGAATTTTTATTTTAAATGTTTTAAAAATATTATGCATGTGAATACCGAATTAGTAACAACTCGATTTGCTAAGTCGTTGGTTAGGATTACGCAGGTTGGGGTGTTACAAATAGTGTATATTATACATTTAAAAGTACTTTGTTCTATGAATCAATATTGTTTTTTGTTGCATTTTTTAGGACACAAAAATCTGGAGCTAAAAGATGCATCACAGAGAGATCAAATGGCGTTGTAAGTTTTGTTGCATCATTGTTGAAGTTTAATGAATAGTCTGTATGAGTTTCTCTTATTGTGCATTATCATGATATACACAATGCATTTACATGAGAAGAAAATGCATTTTTAGATTCAAGGTAAAGATAATATGTTCTGTTACATTGCATTCTTAGAATCAAAGTAAAATTCTTCTGACACAAATATGATACATCTATATATATTATAGATTAAAATATTCTATGCTACGTTTAAATATGGGTTAGAAACACATTGAAAAAAGTGATTTTTAAAAAATTAAATTGCCTACTCAATTAATAGGTCACGTATAAGATAAGAATCACTTTAAAAAAATATTATTGCCTATTAGCTCAAATGGTAGAGCAGTATGTACTACGTATGTGAGTTCGAATCTTGCATACACGATGATAGTTGTTGATCTAGACATGTGCCTGCTTCCGACACCTGTTGCAATTGCCTTCGATAAAGCTTCCATCTAGAAAGATCTCCATGATTTGTATAAAATTGTGAGCAATATTGCGAGCTGTCTTTTTGGATTGGATTGGAAGATGCGAAAATATTTTGGAATATTTGTAGAAAAGTTGAAGCATTGCACACAGATGTTGCTAGGTCTAAAGAATAATTTCTTAGAGATACAATCAAAACCCTGGATTGCACTCTCTTTTACAATGTGGGTGAGAGTGTGGAGCTCATTAAAAAGCTCTTCATTATCACTCATAGGTCTTGGTGGCTATTTTCTAGCTCATATCTGAACAATAGTTTTTTATCGGATCGATCCGACCCTTGGGGGCAAACACAGGCCTAAGCTGAAATATATGTTTAGGAATTGGCACAGAAAGGCCCTGGAGTATCCACCTTTCAAACGCACTCTAGCAATCAAGGGCTTTCAAACTACTGAACCATTTGATTCTCTAATTTTCTTAAGAAATGCGATGGAGCATGATGTTTTCTACGAGGAAACAGAATCAAAGTATCAAATTTTTGAAATGTTTGAAGAAATAGTTTGCTTAAAATATTCCAAAGAAAATCCAGATCAAGTGATAGAGAAAGTGTGTCTACTTGAGAGCCACGGTAGAGTATGCATTGAGAAAAAAAGCATCTATTTCTAGGGAATTGAAAATGACTATCATTAAATATCTTGATAGCTCTGCATCTTCAGATGATGAGAGGGAGATGAGTTGGCTACTTATAAAGTTATAATTGATCGTGTCAAGAAAAACATATGATGCCCATGGTAATGAACAAATTCTGGAGATGAAAGTGTTACCAGATTTGAATGATCTATGCATGACATTTGCTCTTAATTCTGGGTGACGATGTTGTAATATTTGAATGATTTATGACATGTTCTGGGGCTGGAGGTGTAACAAGATTTGAATGATTTCTGACATAAACTTTAGTTTAACAATCCTCAATAACACTGTGCAGAAGAATACTAAGAGCAAATATGCTGTAAAATGAAGAGAAGAAATGAAGTGGTGGGAGGGGGGGGGTGGTAGGAGGTAAGCCTCCCAAAGTTTATGTCAGAAATCATTCAAATCTTGTTACACCTCCAGCGCTAGAATATGTCATAAATCATTTAAATATTGCAGCTTCGTCACCCAAAATTAACAGCAAAGGTCATGCATAGATCATTCTGGTAACACTTTCATCTCTAGACGTTCTTCCTTACCTTGGGCATCATATGTTTTTCTTGACACGATCAATTATAAATAGCCTACTCATCTCCCTCTCATCTTCTAAAGATGTAGAACTATCAAGATATTTAATGATAGCTATTTCCAATTCCCTAGAAATAGATGCTTTTTTTTCTCAATGCACTCTACTGTGTCTCTCAACTCTTCTAGTAGACACACCTTCTCTATCACTAGTTCTGGATTTTCTTTGGAATATTTTAAGCAAACTATTTCTTCAAATATTTCAAAAATTTGATACTTTTTCCCTCGTAGAACATATCATGCTCCATCGCATTTCTTAAGAAAATTAAAGAATCAAATGGTTCGGTAGTTTGAAAGCCCCTGATTGCTAAAGCTCATTTTAAAGGTGGATACTCTAGGGCCCTTTTATGCCAATTCCTTAACATATATTTCAGCTCAGGCCTGTGTTTGCCCCAAGGGTCGGATCGATCCAATAAAAACTACTGTTCAGATATGAGCTAGAAAATAGCCACCAAGACCTATGGGTGATAATGAAGAGCTTTTTAATGAGCTCCACACTCTCACTTACATTGTAAAAGAGAGCGCAATCCAGGGTTTTGATTGTGTCTCTTAGAAATTTGTTCTTCAAACCTGGTAACATCTGTGCAATGCTTTTAACTTTTCTACAAATATTCTAAAATATTTTTGCGTCTTCCAATCCAATCCCAAAAGACAGCTCGCAATATTGCTCACAATTTTATAGAAATCATGGAAATCTTTCTAGATGGAAGCTTTATCGAAGGCAATTGCAACAGGTGTCAGAAGCAGGCACATGTCTACATCAACAACTATCATCGTCTATGCAGGATTCGAACTCACAAATGTAGTACATACTGCTCTACCATTTGAACTAATAGGCAATAATATTTTTTTAAAGTTATTCTTATCTTATATGTGACCTATTCATTGAATAACAATTTAATTTTTTTTAAAATGACTTTATTCAATGTGTTTCTAACCCATATTTAAACGTAGTATAGAACATTTTAATCTATAATATATACACACACACATATGTATATATATATATATCTATGTATGTGTATATATGTATGTATATGTGTGTGTGTGTGTGTGTGTGTGTATATATATGTATGTATCATATTTGTGTCCGAGAATTTTACTTTGATTATAAGAATGCAATGTAAGAGAATATATTATCTTTACCTTGAATCTAAGAATGCATTTTCTTCTCATGTAAATGCATTATATATATCTTGATAATGCACAATAAGAGAAACTCATACAAACTATTCATTAAACTTCAACAATGATGCAACAAAACTTACAGTGCCATTTGAACTCTCTGTGATGCATCTTTTTTCAGTTTTTTAATTTTTTGAGCCCTTAGATCTTACATATAATGGAGGAGATCCATTCTTATTTCTTTTATTAGATTGCATTCTCACTTGATTTTATATATATATATACATACACACACAGAGATATATATATATATATATATATATATATATATATATATATAAAATCCTTAAACAGTACAATATAGTGGTGTTTTTCTAGTAGCTGCTTATTGATTTATTCTTTATAAACAGTTTTTAACTTGATGCTTATAAGTTAAAATTTCTTTCATGTAGATTAAATGATATGAGTCATTTGGGGATATTTATAAGGTGAGAATAATTTTGTAAGTAATCTGGTCAAAAAAAGAGAAACAGAAAAAATTAACTTAAATAAGTAAGATCTACTTATTTTTCCTTATAAGAAGCTTATAAGTCAGTTTATATGCACAGAGAATTACGGCATCTACTGACTTATAAGTTAAAACAGCTTATAAGCAGTTTTAACCAACTTATAAGCACAGGAAAACACCCACATACTCTTTTTGTCCCAATTTATAGTGCAGACTATAATTTTTTACAGAAGTTACTACTTCCGTCTTAATGTATTTGTCCAGTTTGGCTATTTCGAGTCAATGTGAACAAACTTTAAACTCCAATTACTCTCAATTTATATTGCATATTAGCATAATGAAATACAATTTTGAAAGTTCTCAATATGATAAATCCATTAAAGTCATTTTTATGTTAAAATACATTACGGGTTTATTTAATTGGAGCTCAAAGTTTGTCCAGTTTGACTCAAAAAAGTTAAGCGGGATAAATACACTAGGACGAGGGATTATTTTTTATTTAAATTATTTGAAGATTTTGGTGGAATTTAAAACTAAACATTAAAAAACTGAATAAAATTCTTTGAAACAAAAAGTGACATGAGTGTGTTATGACTTATTAAATAGTAAGTAAAAAAAATATTTAAAAAAATAAATAAGATTTTAACTATACTCCCTCTGTCTCAAAATCTCTTCCATGTTTTGACTTATAGGTAGTGTTTGACAAGTAGGATATTTAAATGCATGCATTTCAATTCTAAGATTTAAATTTTTTATTTTTATATGGCAAGAGAAGATATATGAATTTGTAATTGAGCTTTTTTATGAATATGATGAATTTGTTTCAAATTAAATTCATATTTGTTTAAGACTTTCAAATATGAAATTTGAACCAAATTTAGATTTGAAATTAAATAAATTAGATAAATTTGTCTCAAATCAAATTCAAATTCTCAAACATGAAATTTGGGCCAAATTCAAATTTAAAATCTGTAGAAATTAATAAGAGAGAAAATATTCTGTATATTGAATTGTTCTTGTGCTTACAAAGGTCTAACCCTCTTTATATAGGAAGAGAGTAAAGCATTTAAGTAAACTTTTATTCCTACCATATTTCTATTCCTACTATAACAAGAACTAAGCAAACTAGAAAAGATATTAAACCGAATCCCAAAGGGATTCAGTTTTCTTCTTTGATCCGGCTTCCTTCTTCTGTCGCCAACACCCCCCCTCAAGCTGGAGTTTGGGAGTTCAACATGCCCAGCTTGGACATCAAAAGATTGAACAAAGCAACAAAGCTTGAGGAAACCGCTGCCATCGTTGTCCAAGTGTCATCTAGACACTTCAGTTTTTTTTCTTCAACGGAAACGCTAAGCTTTTCGAATCCGCCGAATAATCAGCCGAGTAAAGGAACGCCATTCTTTTCGAACCTTCACCGTATTCGAACAAACAGGGGGAACGCCATTCTTTTCGAACACCCTGAACGCCGACTTTTTTTTATTGCCTGCTAAGGAAAGAGTTGCATGTTTCTGTAAAACAACCCTTCTCAGACAACTTCTTCAAGATTGATGGTTGGGCGGGATTCCTCGACAGCAATGTTTTTCGTTGAAGGAGTTCATGATATTCTTTAGTGAGGGAGAACAATCAAAGAAAATCAAAAATTACAATATCCCGCCGGTAGGCATTGAATTTTGTTTGCCCACCGGCAGGGGAAGAAGCGTGTTTGAGGTCTCAAGAATTCAAAACTTGCTCTGATACCATGTAGAAATTAATAAGAGAGAAAATATTCTGTATATTGAATTGTTCTTGTGCTTACAAAGGTCTAACCCTCTTTATATAGGAAGAGAGTAAAGCATTTAAGTAAACTTTTATTCCTACCATATTTCTATTCCTACTATAACAAGAACTAAGCAAACTAGAAAAGATATTAAACCGAATCCCAAAGGGATTCAGTTTTCTTCTTTGATCCGGCTTCCTTCTTCTGTCGCCAACAAAATCCAAATAAAAGTTCCCAAACATGCTATTATGGAATATAAGGGAGATATATTTTGGTGTTCACTTTTCAAAAATATCTTGATGTGATGGGTAAAAATATTATGTAATGGATAGGTTATTTGTGAATAAATATGATGTGATAAGTAATGTAAGAATTAATATGAATTTTTTTTAGTACGTAGAAAGGAAAAAATCATTTTGAGACAAAGAAAAGAGAATTATTTAGGACACGAGTATAACCAAACCATATCACCCCATTTGAATAGTACTCCGACAAAAAATTTTCTTCCCGTTGTGCGTTACGATATTTGAGTGGAGTTATTTTCTAAACATTTTATATGAAAAATGATGTAAAATTAAAAATAAAAATTACATATTAAAAAACTACATCAAAAGATCTACAAAATTTGAAGTGACATGACTACATTATTTTATCAAATGAACAATGAAAATAAGCCAACAAAATGAATACAATTTAACTATGTGAAGAGTTAACAAAAAGTGTCCACCCCTATGCTATTTGAACCTTAAGACAAGCCTCTCGTATATGTGGGCTGGTAAGGAACCAGAGTTGAATGTTGTGCTAATGTGCTCATCCTCAATTAACAGGTAAATTGACCATTTAATTGATAATGATAGTGTGATTTTCATTTATTAAAAACAAAACAAAAATTGTAAGTTCACAGACTCATGTTTGATTAGTAACAAACAAATGGAAAACGAAGCTGGAGAACAGTTAGATTGTGTCAAACCATGAATCAAAGTCATCACTGAGTTTATTAGATCTGGTGACAGCTTTTGCCTCATCTGCTGGTGACCCCTTACTTTTGTTAATGGTCAGAATGGATGTTTCATTGAGCAGATCATCGACACAATCTTCGAGCTTCATGTCCCTTGGCGCAGATAGATTGGGAACCTTTTGACTCGATGAAGCCCTTTCTGGCAATGAAGATGAAGATGACGCATGTTTTTGTGGCAAAAAAGAACCCCGATGTGATTCCTCTACCCTTTCTGACTCCAGAGGCTTATCAGTAAATGAGCCCAAAAGCATGTCAAGCTCATCCTCTGCCTCAAATTTTGATGGCTTCTTAGCAACAGACTTCGTATTGAATTCGGGAGTGTACCTCTGCATGCCGGTTTGTCCCATTTCTGTCCTTTCCAATGCCTCATCCTTCGCACTGCCAGTAGATTTTGAGACTTCCCCGGTGAGAACGGATATCTTACAACTGCTGCTGGTAGCTGTGCTTGTTCTATCAGATGGGCTGCCAACAAAATTATGCAGACTCTTGCTGTCTTCAGATACAGTTTTTGTAGCTAACACATCAAAAACTTCCTCTGCCAATCCACTTGTTCTTTTTGCTGGAGCCTCTTCATGTTTATTCTCACTAAGCTTTTGCAGTTCCTCCATGAGCTATAATGTGGGTAAAACCATATTACACGGCATTATAGCAGCTATAAAAAGGAAAAGCTCAATAGTGAAAATCCGGGAATATCTATTTGCAGTTGAGAAACGAAATTAATAGAGCTAAACTTCATAGTTTGATGCTTAATCTCAAACTTTGTGATTGGCTCTATTAGTGCATCCTTTGTTATTTCTTATTGATGATACAAACATGCCTATAATTTAAGTTACCCTTATTGCTTTGATTTCATATTGATACAGTTTACTCTTAAATATACTCCGTAATAAACAGCACTAATAACTACCAGTTCTGGCAAGTCAGGATCGATGAAAAGCCTTTCTGATAGAGTTGCTTTAGCAAGTTGCTCCGCAAGAGTGTGCAGATTGAGTGAGAGAAAAGTGGCCTGCAAACATAGGACTGCACCATTCAGTATGAGAGTACCAGTCTTTGTTACTCCACGAAGGTTATATATGGGCAGTCAAAAATCTAAGGAAATAATAAGCCAATAGACATGTGGTAGTGCTAGTAAACTAGATAAGGCTCTAGGCCCCTAACAGAACTACATTGACTTCCTAAGTGAAATTACATACTCCCTCCATTTCTTTTTACTGGTCTCGGTTGATCAATCACTATCCACAAGTCACTATCGATAGAGTCAAATGATATCCTCTGTCCACACTAATCATTTTTTAAAATAATATAGTCAACCCACATATTGTTTAGTAGAGATTTTGATATAGTATTTAAATGTATAACTTTATTTTCTAAAACTACACCAACTTTATATAAATTGAATTGAAATAACTTCAGCCAAGTATTGTAAACCAAAACGAGACCACTAATTTGAAACCGAGGGAGTATATTCCTTGAACTCTTCATTGTGCACCACATTATATAAACTGTTCTCTTTTTCACCAAGTCATTTGGAAAAGAAACTGCTATTGTACCCAAACATAATAATTAAGAAGAGTGCCCCTTCAGAAGTATGGAACAGCTAGAATATGAAATAATTCCTAATTTCAAATAGTACTTGTTAGATACTCCTCACGTTCATTTGGCATCACCAACCCGTTTACTCAATATGGTCAAACATCTCTATAACAGCCATCTTCTACAACAGCAATTCACTATAGCATCCTTATTTCTTTTAGAACGGATTTGTATGTGTAGTTTTATTTCTCTATAACAACATTCTAGCTATAACATTTATAATTGGTACCAACTTTGTAAACGTAACCCTCTATGACAATGTATCTTCATTAAATATAATATTATGCAATAACAGGCCCAAAACATATGGCTTAACCTTTTTTTAATGAAAAATCTTCTTTAATACTCGGCATTTACTCCTTAATTCCAAAACTATGACTGACCTCTTTATTATCAAGTATTTACTCCTTAGAACACAAAATATGATTCACGAGTTCAAACATTTTATCATTGCTAATAAGTTAGAACCTAGAAAACAAGCTACAGTTGCAAACTTTTTGACTGAATCAAGACAATACATTGATGATACAAAGGTGTAAAAATAATTTTTTTCTGTCCATTTGTATTTATAACAGCATGTTGTTGTACCCGTTTAACAACATACTGTTATAGACATATAGGAACATGCTCTTATAGGTGTATAACATATTGTTATACGCGTATAACAGTCATTTACTATAGTACCAAAAAAGTGTGAAACCAAATGAGACAAATGAGGCTATTATAGAAAGGTTTGACTTATCATAGTATCCCAAGAAGCTGTTAATTCCAAGTAATGGCAAAAAGACATACAGTGCACAGTAGCTCCAAGGCTTGCATGTTTATGCTTTAATGAATCTTAGATTTTAAAATTCGAAAACTTATATGGTTCCCCAATCCCGAAAACCTGGTCCAGTGGGAAACATTAAGCTAAAGTAAACATTTTGACCTCAAAGAAACTAAAAACTAAACAATTCTACAAACTAGTTAATGAATAGAAATTTACTTTGAGTAATTTACAAAAGGATAAAATGTGTAAGGGAAGTTACTAGCCCGTTGCAGACATTCAATTAGAAAATGTTTGGTTTTGGCTACATAAGAAATGATCCAATAACGTGATACATAAACCCTTTTGGTTGCCCGATACTATTGAAATCAACATTCTACTAAAAGATGATGAAGTGGAAAGAATGCATGATGTATGTTCATGATTTCTTCCAATAGAATTCCAAAGTTTAGCAAAAAGACCTAGTTGAATTCTTCACCAAATCAGTAGATTACCATTACCCAACTAACAATATATAAGATGAATTATGTTTTTCAACACATTATTAAGACAAACAAGGAAAGGAATGTCATTCTAAACCATCAAAAGAAATATATGATCCAAACAGTAGCAGCCAAGCCTTAATCCCTGTTCAATTGGTCTAAACCAAAAGAATTGTCATAAAGGATCATTTCAATAGCATGAAAAGGTCCAAGCTTCCTAATATCTATTTCCGCCTCAACAATATGTACCAGTTTCGAGCAAAAGACACATATCAGCTCTAAAATTGGCAAAGATATACATGACAAAGAAAATACCTCATCTGGGGGAGGCGCTTTATCTTCGGACCCAAAAATGTCATCTGCAATCCAGGATGCTATGCTTTGCCCTTTAGTGGAAAGCAATGGACCAAATCCCTGGTAGAAATCTAAGAAACAATGTCAATCATCACAATGTGCAAAATCTTCAGCGCCACACAATTTGAATGAAAAATCATCCTAACAAGCAGGATGCAAAGCAACACATTCAATACATCAAAGTATCACAATGATTAAGAGAGTCACCATGTAGAACATCGTCAAACAGAGGTGCACTCTGTGAAGAATACCCAGACTGAGCCTTGGCTTCAGAGATCAAGTAAGCATAGTCTGCCCCCTTACTCTTCGGCGCTACAACATCCGAACCTGCCTCAGATGAACTCTCTCGAGGAACCACATTTCCAGAATCTAACTCATACCCTTCGTCTCCTTCGTCAACATACCGATCCCAATTCGAAGGAAGTCCCTTAGAACCATGACCCTGTGCAGGTTTATCCTTCCCTTGCTTCCTACTTTGCTTCTTATCCCCAGTAGATGACGAACTCGGGCCAGCAGAAGCAACCTTGGACGGATGAGGTTGCTGATTCTTCTTACTAAGATGCAATGAGTGAGCTCTTTTCGACTTCGCCAATGATTTTGTATCCATTTCTAGGTCGGATTGAAGGGCAGGATTTAGCAATATACATTATTACAGATTGGTAAAAACAGGAAAAAAATGTTATTTTGCACATTCATATAATATTAATCAGGGTGGAGATCATAGAAAGTTGATCGAATCGAACGAAAGTGAGTGTTTTGAAGAAGGAGAAAAAAGGGAAGAGATAAAATCGCGCACCTGAGAATGAGATCGAGTGGGAAGCTCAAAACGGAAGAGGAAGAAGAAAAGCTTTATGCTCTGTTTCCTCTGTTGGATTTTTTCTTGAAATGGATGGGCTGGCCCAATGTATTGTTCGACAAATTATTATGCTCCAGAGTTTCAACATTCGTTAGTCGGCCCAGGAATAGGTTGCCGGCAGTTTTATGGTGGACATATGATTCACATAGTTTCTCACATAATTTTTTTTTTAAAGAAATACTTACCTCAACACTTAAGGAATATTTATCTTGCATATATATATATATATATGAATATCCATCATGAACACGATTGACCTTAATATCATGCAAGAATTGATCTTTAGAGGTAGTAATTGGTTCTTTGAGATGGTACTGGAGTCTTGATGATCAAGAAGTAACGAGTTCAAATTTCACTGCATCAGTTTTATAATATTAATTTTCATGTGTAACATTCGAGCGAAAAACTACTTGCACATGAAGAGACATTTTAGAGTATAAAACATATCGTAGACCTATAACCACAAGTTTGAGTTTTTAGTTGAGTTGTTTATTTGACACTTTAAAGTTCAAACAAGAGTTAAACTATGTGTACCCCAAAAGTTATACCTCACTTTGTACTCCGAAAGCATGTACCAACATTTTATACTAGTGTAATGCTAGTGTGATAGTTTACAATGATGCAAAATGTCAGTGTAAATTTTTTTGATCGAACCAACATATTGTGCCAATATGAAATGTAATACTACTCCCTCCGTCCTAAAATCATCTTCCCACTTTCTTTTTTTCTTGCATCCTAAAATTATCTTTCTGCTTTTCAAAAAAGAAGCTAAATGACTTTAATACCCTCAAGTTCTAACGTATCTAGATTCGATATCCGGAAATAGATATAGATATGGATATATCTGATACCCGACAGATGCGGATACTGTTTCGATTTTCAGTATCTGTCAAGATCTGTATCTAGATTCGATATCTGACAAAAATAAACAGATACGGATTTGGTAATGACACATCCGATCCAATTAATATCCGCTTACACCCTTAGTTCCACACAAAAATAAAAAAAATTGTACTGATAATGGCCGTGAATATGTAAATCATCAGTTTGGTTTTTTTATAATAATTGGGGGTTCTTCACCATAAATCTTGTCCCTACACACCTGAATTGAATGGTGTTGCAGAACGTAAACACATACAACTTACTGAAACTGTCGTGTCCCTTCTTTATACTTTATCTCTTCGAGTTATTTTTTGGGTAGAAACTTTAGCAACAATGAATTACCTCATTAATCGTATTCCAAAACTCTCCATCACAAGTCTCCATACGAGTTTCTACGTGTCTTTGGTTGTCTTGTTTGTCCTCATCTTCGTCATGAGACTAATCATAAGCTACAATCATGTTCCAAGCGGTGTGTCTTCTTGGGGTATGAACAATTATCTAAGGGTTACTAGTGTTATGATCCAACCATTGATCATGTGCATGTCTCTCGACATGTTCAATTCAATGAAAATGTGTTTCCTTATTCTGTGTCGTCTTCCCAATCTCTGGCTCCATAGTCACGTGTCGGAGTTCTCCCTCTTTTTCCTAATTCTTCTCCAGTGCAACTTTGTCCTACTCACGTGGACCGTATCTCACGGCCTACCCACCATCAAACCGGCCCACCCCCCGAATTCCCAAACTGGGACTATCCACCTGTCCTGCCCATACAGCCACCCCAATCAACCTTCCCATCACCGCAACTGGGCCTAGCAATGGGTCGGGTTCGAGCCGGTCCATATTGTTCTATTCTTGTACTTACTTTAAAAAAATTGATTCTGACCCGTACCCATTTACCAACGGGTCTTGAAGTTTAATCCTATATTTGGATCCATTAGGTCTCGGTATCGGGTCGGGTATACCCATAATAAAAGTTGACGTCTTTTATTTTCTATAATTGAAAAACAATTAGTGAAAATACTATGAATGAAAAACACTTTAATTAAATATAAATAAAAATAAGACAAATACGTTAGTGCAACAAAAACCGGCATTTCTCACCAAAATCTATAAAAAAAATTAGATTCATAATCGATCTTCTTTCATGTTGCAAGAATGTTCTTTATAACATTAAAACTAATTCCAAGTTATTTATTTTATACTACTGCATAGCATAAATCAACGTGTACATGCCTCTAATGTGGTGAAATAAATACAAATAGATTTAGAAGCCACAAAACCAGCGAAGAAAATGAGTAGTGAAGAAGAGAGGTAGAGTTTTGTAATATTTAATATTATGTATGTAATATATATTTAACCGGTACGGGTTTCAAACGGGCCAGGACTACTCATCCTATACCCAACCCTTTATTTTTATAAAATAATGGGTACGGGTTCGGGTACAGGCAAACGGTATTTTTTATACTCCTAAACCCGCTAAAAATTACGGGTATTATACGGGTTCGGGTCCATACCCGACCCATTGACTGGCCTAACCGCAACCGAAACCCACCCAACCACACACCCAACCCGATACCTCACACTAATCTTGTGAACAACCGGTCATCCATGTCCACACAGAATCCTTGCCTCTTTCCCCACAATCTGCCATCCCAACCGAACACCATTCCCCATCCCCATCACCCCTCCCCATTAATGTACTTTGTTCCACTCACCTCATGACAACCCGTTCCAAAAGCGGTATCTTTAAAGACTTTTTTCTATCTCTCTCCACTCAACACTCTCTATTTCTGAGTCCGTGTCATTTAAAGAAGCCTCCAAATATGAGGTTTGGCGCCATGTTATGGATGAGGAATATAATGCCTTGATTAAACAGAATACATGGGTTTTTGTTCCTAGGCATTTGGGTTGATCTCTGATTGGTTGTAAGTGGGTTTACAAAGTGAAGCATAATGTTGATGGTTCTGTTTCGCACTATAAAGCGTGCTTGGTGAAAAAGGGATATAATCAAGAGTATGTGTTGGATTACTTTGAGACATTCAGTCACGTGGTTAAGCCGTAGCCTATTCGTATTGTTTTTAGTCTTGCGCTTCATTATAATTGGCCGCTTCGTCAGCTGGATGTATCTAATGCTTTCTTGCATGGTGAACTTGACAAAAAAATTTATATGGCTCAACGTCCTGGATATGTTGATCCCAGGTTTCCTAAGCGTGTTTGTAAACTTGTCAAGTCTTTTTATGGTCTGAAATAGGCTCCCAGGGCTTGGTATGAATGTCTCTCTGCCTTTCCATGTGCATCTGGGTTCCGCAACAACAAGCATGACACTAGCCTTTTTATCTATCGTCTGCATGCGGGTATGCTGATATTGCTTTTTTATGTTGATGATATTGTTGTTACTGGCAGCTCCTTTGTTTATAGTTCAGGAGTTTATCACTAGGAGGTGTGGTGAGTTTCAGACAAAATATGTGGGTCCGCTTGATTATTTTCTTGGTTTGGAAGTCTCTCGTATGACCTCTTCTCTTGTTGTTTTCCTAAAAAGTATGCTATGGAGCTTATTCATCACACTAGCCTCGAAGATTGTAAGCCCGTTTTGTCACCCTTACCGGTCGTTCGTGGTACCACCGTGGGTAGGGGGTGATCTATTTCCTGATCCCACTTTCTTTCGAGGTCTTGTTGGAGGACTTCAGTACCTTACTACTACACGACCGTACATTCAATTTGCTGTCAACTATGTCTGTTAGCGTATGAATAATTCTATAGAGGATGATTTCTAAAGCTTAAAACGGATTCTATGGTATGTTAAAGGAACTCTTTTCAGAGGACTAGTTTTTCATTCTGGTGACTTACAGCTACAAGCTTATTCTGAGTCTGACTGAGCAAATGATATGACTGATGGACGTTTCGTCACAGGATATCTTGTTTAGCTTGGGCCAAATCTGATCTCATGGAACACGGAAAAACAAACTCGTGTGTCTAAGTCTTTTGTGGAATCTGAGTATCGAGCTCCTTCGTCTATTGCCTCTAAGGTTATGTATCTTACATATATTTTCCATGACCTCCGTGCACCAGTCTCACTTCCACAGCTTATTTGCGATAATCAGTTCGCTATTTGTCTCACTAAGAATTCAGTCTTCCATAAGCGTATGAAGCACGTAGGTACTGATTTTCACTTTGTTCGTGAACAAGTTATTGCTGCATTAGAGAGAGTATCAAGGTTAAGTTTCTTTTCAAGTTGAAGATCAATTCTTCATACAATAGTCACAATGAAATAGTATAGTATTGTATGAAAGAGTAACAAAATTTGTTTGAATATTCTATTTGAGAGATGCATACAACTGAGGGATCGAAGACCAAAAGAGATATTAAAAATAATATCTTGTTCATGTACTAATTCTCTATCAAGGGAAAGAGAAGTGACAATATTGAGAGCACCATCAAGCTAAGATTGGTTTGCATACTCAAAATAATATCTTGTTCATGTACTAATTCTCTGTCAAGGGCAAGAGAAGTGACAATATTGAGAGCACCATCAAGCTAAGATTGGTTTGCATACTTAATTGTCCTTTTCAGAGATTATGAAGTTGTTCCTTCAGTTGAAAAATTTGAGTGCGTGATGGAGAATTATACCGTTGATGAAGTACGTTGATCCCAAATATAAGAGGTGGTGGAACATATGTGAACAAAATTTTGAATTTTTGGAGAGAGTAGAGCTAGAAGAGAAGCATGCAAATAAGCGTCAATAATTGTCCATTGATCATAGGCAAGATTATATTGGGTTTCATAATCGGTTCTTTTTCTGAACCAGTCGTGGATTTTTTGTCAAGTATGGTCGGCGGTGGTGCCGCTTCTCTACCATCGACATATCCGGAGAGTCAACGAGCTTGAAGGTTGTCCTCATAGTGGAAGACTAAGATGGATAATTGTTGTCGTCATCCAATTTGGTCAGGGACGAGAGAATAAAGATTGCGGAGAAATAAGCACAAACCACCAGGGAGTGTGTCGAACGGATCTCTTCCGCACTTTGCAATGTCAATCACATGATGCGATGATGAAGAGAAAAGCATACTGGCTAAAGGTGACGAAGAAATTGACACAAATCGCCGGTAAAAAAAGACGTGCGATCGGGAGAAGGAGAAGAGGACCGACTAGGTTTTAGGGGAAATAATGTACGTG